CTTAGCACCAAGATTGACTAAATAGAGATGAAGTTCAAAAACGTCAATTTTTACTCCAAACAAAAAATGTGGAGGTGAATCCAGGGGGGGGGGGGGTTCTTGCAGATCTGAGGGAAAGAAATCCACTAGAGACTGGAGACAAGTGTTAAATCCAAACTGCTCCAATGGTGAGTGAGAACAGAAGGTGTGTAGTGATTTACTTTGAAAGGAACAGGAAGCTGGTTGAAATCCAGGTAAGTTTTAGCTGCAGGTTTGAGCAGGTGGAGAAGCTGAGGGAGGTTTGATGTGTCAACCAAAGTTTACCAGCAAAATGCACAAACGACCAAACAACAATACAGGACAATAACATCAGTTTGTATTAAATGCAGTTAAAGCTTAGTGTTGATGTGTTGCTGTATCACGACTGCAGGGACACATTTACTTTATGTCTGTTATATTGATTAGCCTTATCAGTTCACATTTCCTTGTATTTATTTTGTGTATATTATTTGTATAATGTACTAATTTTGCTCCACTTGTACAATGACAGTAAAGATATTCCCGTCTTGTATGTGTGGGTCTTAAACAGCACAGTGAGGTCTGTGTGTATTTGGACACAAGATCTGTTTATTTACGTGTTCACTGAAACATATTGTCGTTATAATTACATATTGCACATGGACTTAATGTAAGTAAGTCCACTTACATAACTACTCCTTGACGGTCACCTCAGCAGCTTCCTTCCTTTGTGGTAACACAGATCAGTGGACCTCCCTGACCTCCTCTCCAGATTTTCCTCTGAAAGGCAGAAAGTAAGCACCCTGGCTCAAGCCTTTTATTATTTCTCTGTGCCATCTTCCGGAAAAGATCATTCCTAACTGGTCTCTGTCCTCTACCCTGCACCTTCTCTGTGTGGCTCCCAGTCAGTCCTGCCAATGCAACATACAAACTTCTATTAACGTTGTTAATAAAAGACTTAAGCACAACCATTCCCCGTCTCCCTGTTTGGGTTTTGCTCTTGACTTGGTTTTACCACCAGTGTAGCCAGTTCATGACAGCTAAGTCTAGTTTCTGCTGGAACTGCAGCTGCAAGAACACAACAAGAAATCCTGTTCAGTCGATCCACTTTGATCTCCAGACAAACTGAAGTGATTCCCGCGTCTCCTCTGAGGCTGTGGGACAGTAAGCTTGAATATTGAAGGTCAGACGTGCAGGCATCACATTAGAAACAGCAGCACTGAGAGCACACGCTCCCTCA